CAAGAAAAAAAAAAAAAGAAAAAAAAAAAAAAAAAAGAAAAAAAAAAAAAAAAAAAAAAAAAAAAAAAAATAATTAAAGAAACAAAAATTTCCGTGGATGTCTCGCGCGTGCCGCGTCCCGCACGCAGGAATTTTGATTTCTTTGGGTTTTGACAGGATTTCTCAAGCGAAACGCTTTTTTTTTATAATTTGTTGAGGATGTCTCGAGCGAAACGCTGGTTTTGCAAAATTGGGGGATGTCTCGAGCGGGGGCCTCATGGGGGGCCAGAATTCAGAGGATATCTCAGGCGCAATGTTTGTTTTCGTGTCCCGCTCGCAGGAATTCCGAGGATGTCTCGCGCGTGCCGCGTCCCGCGCGTAGGAATTCGGATGATTGTGATAGGATTTCTCGAGCGAAACGCTTGTCCCCAGCACGTTCAGTAGCGCGTCCCCTTGGCACGTCCCGCGTTTCGACCCCATGGCACGTCCCCTGGCACGTCGCCTGGCGCATCCCTTGGGACGTTTCGCGGCGCGTCCTCCTGGCATGTTCCCCTGTCCATTAGCTCTGGGGCAGCTACTATGTGTTCAGGCAGCTCGAGCTTAAAATCCAGATCAGTTCGGTCAGGACTCGGATGCAAAGGAGGACTCGATCCACGAGGCTATAGAGCACAATCGCGCCATGGCACATCGCAATTCAGCACGGCGCAGCACAGCACAGACTTCGGCAAGGTACATCAAGATCGATACACTCAGCATTGCAACCTGGCTCGTTCCTTGGCACGTTCAGTGGGGCGTCCCTTGGCGAGTCCCCCTGGCACGTCGCGTGGCGCGTCCCCTGGCACATCCCGTGGCACATCCATTGGCACGTTCCGTAGCGCGTCCCCTTGGCACGTCCCGCGGTGCGACCCCATGGCACGTCCCCTGGCACGTCGCCTGGCGCATCCCTTGGGGACGTTTCGCGGCGCGTCCTCCTGGCATGTCCCCCTGTCAATTAGCTCTGGGCCAGCTACTATGTGTTCAGGCAGCTCGAGCTTCAGATCATATCAGTTCGGTCAGAGACGGTGCAAAGGAGGACCGTCCACGAGGCAATAGACAAGTCGCGCCATGGCCACCATCGTACAGACCGAAGGTCTGCAGCACAGCACAGCCCTCGGCAGGGTACATCAAGATCGATACACTCAGCATTGCTTTGCCGTCACCCAATCAGGTGTCTTGGAAAAACGATGCCAGTGTTACAGTTCCTATATTTCCTGTTCTGGATAATTGGTTGAGGATGTCTCGAGCGAAACGCTGGTTTTGCAAAATTGGAGGATGTCTCGAGCGGTGGCCTCGTGGGGGGCCAGAATTCAAAGGAAGTCTCAGGCGAAATGCTTGTTTTCACGTCCCGCTCGCAGGAATTCCGAGGATGTCTCGCGCGTGCAGCGTCCCGCGCGTAGGAATTCAGATGCTTTTGACAGGATGTCTCGAGCGAAACGCTTGTCCCCAGCACGTTCCGTAGCGCGTCCCCTTGGCAGGTCCCGCGTTGCGACCCCATGGCACGTCCCTTGGCACGTCGCTTGGCGCGTCCCTTGAGACGTTCTGCGTCGCGTCCTCCTGGCATGTTCCCCTGTCCATTAGCTCTGGGGCAGCTACTATGTGTTCAGGCAGCTCGAGCTTAAGATCCAGATCAGTTCGGTCAGGACTCGGATGCAAAGGAGGACTCGATCCACGAGGCTATAGAGCACAATCGCGCCATGGCACATCGCAATTCAGCACGGCGCAGCACAGCACTGATTTCGGCACGGTACATCAAGGTCGATACACTCAGCATTGCAACTTGGCACGTTCCTTGGCACGTTCCGTGGGGCGTCCTTTGGCGAGTCCCCCTGGCACGTCGCGTGGCGCGTCCCCTGGCACATTCCGTGGCACATCCATTGGCACGTTCCGTAGCGCGTCCCCTTGGCACGTCCCGCGGTGCGACCCCATGGCACGTCCCCTGGCACGTCGCCTGGCGCATCCCTTGGGACGTTTCGCGGCGCGTCCTCCTGGCATGTTCCCCTGTCCATTAGCTCTGGGGCAGCTACTATGTGTTCAGGCAGCTCGAGCTTAAGATCCAGATCAGTTCGGTCAGGACTCGGATGCAAAGGAGGACTCGATCCACGAGGCTATAGAGCACAATCGCGCCATGGCACATCGCAATTCAGCACGGCGCAGCACAGCACAGCCCTCGGCAGGGTACATCAAGATCGATACCTTCAGTATTGCATTTGCCCGTCACCCAATCAGGTGTCTTTGAAAACGCTGCCATGTGTTACAGTTCTACATTCCTTTCCGGGTTCGTGGGTCGATCATGTAGTAGGTTAACCCCCCGGCCCCCCTGCGACTTGGGCCGGCGAAATTATTCTGCGATAAATTACGTGCGGGAGCAGGGCCGGCGAATTAAAATGTGAGGATGTCTCGAGCGAAACGCTTGTTTTTCAGAATTTGTTGAGGATGTCTCGAGCGAGACGCTTGTTTTTTATTATAGATTGTCCTCTCCTGGGGACTTGAATTCTGAGGATCTCTCAAGTGGATTGCTTGTTTTCACGTGCCCAGGTCTTGAGGATGTCTCGAGCGAGACGCTTGGTTTCACGCCTCCAGGTGGCCCAGACAGATGTCTAGCATGAGGATTTGTTGAGGATGTCTCGAACCAGAGGCTTGTTTTCACGTGTCCAGGTCGCCCAGGCGGATGTCTAGCATGAGCATTTGTTGAGGATGTCTCGAGCGAGACGCTTGTTTGCACGTGTCCAGGTTGCCCAGGCGGATGTCTAGCATGAGGATATGCTGACAACGTCTTGAGCGAAACGCGTGTTTTCACGTGTCCAGGTCGCCCAGGCACAGCACAGCCCTCGGCACGGTACATCAATATCGATACCCTGAGCATTGCAGCCTGGCATGTTGCCTGGCACGTTCCGCGGAGCGTCCCGTGGCGAGTCCCCTGGCACGTCGCGCGGTGCACGTCCATTGGCACGTTCCGTAGCGCGTCCCCTTGGCACGTCCCGCGGTGCGTGCCCATGGCACGTCCCCTGGCACGTCGCCTGGCGCGTCCCTTGGGACGTTCCGCGGCGCGTCCTCTTGGCATGTTCCCTCTGTCGATTAGTTCTGGGGCAGCTACCATCTGCTCAGGCAGCTCGAGCTTACGATCCAGATCAGTTCGGTGAGGACTCGGATGCCAGGGAGGACTCGATCCACAACGCTATATAGAGCACAATCGCGGCATGGCACATCGCAGTTCAGCACGGCCCAGCACAGCACAGCCGTCGGCACGGTACATCAAGATCGATACACTCAACTATGCACCTTGGCACGTTCCTTGGCGCGTTCCGTGGCGAGTCCACCTGGCACGTCGCGCGGCGCGTCCCCTGGCACGTCCCTCGGCACGTCCATTGGCACGTTCCGTAGCGCGTCCCCTTGGCACGTCCCGCGGTGCGTCCCCATGGCACGTCCCCTGGCACGTCGCCTGGCGCGTCCCTCGGGACGTTCCGCGGCGCGTCCTCCTGGCATGTTCTCTCTGTCGATTAGTTCTGGGGCAGCTACCATCTGCTCAGGCAGCTCGAGCTTACGCTCCAGATCAGTTCGGTGAGGACTCGGATGCCAGGGAGGACTTGATTCACAACGCTATATATATATGAGAGAGAGAGAGCACAGTCGCGGCATGGCACATCGCAGTTCAGCACGGCGTCGCACAGCACAGCCCTCGGCACAGTACATCATCATCGATACATTCAGCATTGCATGTGCCCGTCGCCCAATCAGGTGTCTTTAAACTGTTGCAATGCCTTACATTTCTATATTCCTTTCCGGGTTCGTGGGTCGATCATGTTTTTCTTCTGAGGAGCAGAGGAGCAGCTCTGACAACAGCTCCGATTCTGAATTCGAATTCAGGGGACCCACACTTTTCTTCGCCAATGGATCAATACGAGGAACCGCCTTGGGGTTTCCTTGATGACGCTCAAACAACCACATGAGAACTGGCCAGCATGCACTCACGGCTGGGATTCCGGAAAGCTTGCATGTCCAATTGAAATAGGTGACGTCAGTTCCAGTGAGAATGTACAATCCGCCTCTGAGCAGCATCAACGTTTGGCAAACAACGCGTGTCAGTATTTGAATACTCCAGCACCGCTGAAGACATCACCCTCCCTGGCGCGTTAGGATAATATTGTGTTTTAGCGTTGTCACCGGGCGGTATTGGTTCCCGTGGCTTGCGTTTTGGAAGAGAGTTGCGACTATACGCAGGTTCCTCCAACGCATCAGAGTCTCAACTGGGAGATGCTTCATAACATATTTGGCAAGGTTGGAAGCGATGGCATGGATCACTTGCGGGTCCCACTTAGACATGTCCTGGCTGTCATCGGTGATCTAAGGATCTCCCAGGACGAAGCACTTGCCGTTTGCACGCGTTTATTCCATTTTGATATTGTAAAGATGTCACCTTGATATGGCGGAATGTGTACTGCGCATCAGAAACACTGCAGAACTTGCGCTGAGTTATCTCAAGGAAATCAAATACATCAAACAAAGATGTGGGTGCGCAAGTGTCAGGAATCGCGTCGATGGTGACTGCAATTTCAAAACCGCGATTGACGAATTAGACGATGAGTCAGATGATGGGAAAAAGGGCGGGGCAGCAGCTGCAGATGACGACGGCTCCTACGAAGACGAGATCGAGGAAAGGCAAGCAGAGCGAGGCGGCGAGGAACTCACCAGCGAGCGTTGAAGGAGACGTCAGAGCTGTGGCCGCGCGACGAGATAGCAGGCGGCGGTCTTGGTACAGCATCGCCAATAGATGCGCCATTGCCTGTTGCAGGTGAGCCACCTGCGCGCGCAGGGGCCGTCGACGGCGCGGCCCCGTCAGTGAATGGATGCATCTGAGCTTGCTGCGCCCGATGCCGAAGTTGCGGCGGCTGTGGCGCCTGCGCCGGCGCCTGCAGCTGCTGCCGAAGACGCGTCGGCGCCTGAGCCAGCGGCGCCTGGGCCAGCGCTTGCGCCCGCCGCCGAGGATGCAACGGCGCTCGTGCCACTGCCAGCGCCTGCGGCCGCCGCTGAAACAGCAGCGGCGGCGCAAGTGGCGGCGCCAGAAGGCGCTCTTGGAGAGGGGCGAGACCGCTGCATCCATGGAAGCAGACTCAGCCGGCCGCCTTCAGACGTTGGCCGCGGCGTCCCAGCCGCTGCCCGAGGCCGAGGCCGCGCCTCCTCAGGCCGCAGAAGGCAGTGGCCGGTAGGCAGTCAATGCCAGGTCTGCGGGGCGGAGGTTAAACAGACAAGGTGATTCCGCAGCTTCGCTCGCAGTCCTGCGCCCCCGCGGAGGGGCGAAGGCGGCACCCGAGGTGTGCGCCCCCAGCAGGGGCGGGGGGGGCCGCGGCCGCTGCGCCGGAGGCGCTGGGTGGGCGCTCGAAAGAAGCCATGCGCTTCGCGCGCGGCCCCCAGTGCCATTCGATGTGATCTGTCCAACCGCAGCATCTTTTCAATGATGTCCGACTTGTCCTCGGGCGCCGCATCGGGCGATTGCGCGGCGTTTTACTGAAGCTCATGAAAGAGAAGCCACTGAGAAACAGCATGTTATTCGACTCGAGAGATCACCAGTGGAGTTGCCGATTGAGTTTTTGACGCGCTGCTGCTCGCCCTGCCAGGCGCCGCCCACGAAGCGCCATCGCGGGCGCTCAGCCTGGCGCCTCGCTGACGTCCGAAGTCGGCGCCCCCCTGCAAGGGCTGGGATTCTTGTCCAGAGTTGACGAACATCTCCACGACAATGTCGAGCTCCCGTTGAAACGGAAAGCGTCGCAGAGCGCTGCGTAGATTGACGCGCGGGACATAGTGGTCAGAATGCTCAGCAGATGCGGCGATGATCAGTGGCGCGCGCGCAATCATATGCCGGCCCGCAAGTAGTCAGGAGAATCTTATGCCGGCCCGCAAGTAGTCAGGAGCCCCCCGGTATCTTTCATTGCTGTTCATCCGTTGCCAGTCCATTCGAATCTGAGTGCATTGCATGATTCCTGTATTATTCGTCCCTTCTGATTTCGGAGTCGATACTATTCGATGGAACAAACCGTTCGTTCGGTGACGTACTGGTTTCTCCATAGCTGCTACATGGTTGATCCGTTATTGCTGCATTGTTGCTACATTGTGTCTTCAGTCGAGTTCCATCATCATGACATCATTGCTCCATTTGTGTTCCATGCTTCCTCCATTATTTGTTCACCATTGCTCCATTATTCCTCCATTAGCTTTCAACCCATCTCTGGTTCGCCATATTCTGGAGACCTGGCGCAGCACGACCTCCCTGAACAACATGTGCTGCATCAGTGCTACACGTTTTGTTAACTCAATTTGGGCAGCCTACCTATGTTCACACAACTATTATTCCAGTGGAGATGTCTGATTGTGCTATTTCTCTTGTGGTCATCACGGTTCTTTTCCTGGGACTGCAGCGCTTCATTATTTCGTGGATGTTGTTCGATATTTGTTTCGTCATTGATTCATGGTTGCTCCGTGGCTGCTCCGTGCGTGGTCCGTTATTGTCTCATGTGTCGTTTCATTTTCAGTATCATTTTCCCGGAAAGGGCGCAGGCCCATGGTTCTCTTTTTCCCGGAAAGGGCGTAGGCACAGGGTTCTTTTTTAGAGGTTTACCCCCGGAGATGGGCCGGCGAATTTATTTTGCGATAAATGACGAGGTCGCGAAGGGCCGGCGAATTAAAATTTGAGGATGTCTCGAGCGAAACGCTTGTTGTTCACAATTTGTTGAGGATGTCTCGAGCAAAACGCTTGTTTTGTGTTAAAGATTGTCCTCTCCTGGGGACCTGAATTCGGAGGATCTCTCAAGTGAAATGCTTGTTTTCACGTGCCCAGGTCTTGAGGATGTCTCGAGCGAGACGCTTGGTTTCACGCCTCCAGGTTGCCCAGACAGATGTCTAGCATGAGGATTTGTTGAGGATTTCTCGAACCAGAGGCTTGTTTTCACGTGCCCAGGTCGCCCAGGCGGATGTCTAGCATGAGGATGTGTCGAGGAAGTCTCGATCGAGACGCTTGTTTGCACGTGTCCAGGTTACCCAGGCGGATGTCCAGCGTGAGGATGCGCTGAGAACGTCTTGAGCGAAACGCGTGTTTTCACGTGTCCAGGTCGCCCAGGCACAGCACAGCCCTCGGCACGGTACATCAATATCGATACCTTGAGCATTGCAGCTTGGCATGTGGCGCGTCCTCCTGGCATGCCCCCTTGTCAATTAGCTCTGGGGCAGCTACTATGTGCTCAGGCAGCTCGAGTTTAAAATCCAGATCAGGTCGGTCAGGACTCGGATGCAAAGGAGGACTCGATCCATAACCAACGCTATAGAGCACAATCACGGCATGGTACATCGCAATTCAGTGCGGCGCAGCACAGCACAGCCCTCGGCACGGTACATCAAGATCGATATATTCAGCATTGCATTTGCCCGTCGCCCAATCAGGTGTTTTTGAAGCGTTGGCATGCCTTACATTTTTGTATTCCTTTCCGGGTTCGTGTGTCGATCATGCTTAGGAGAAGAAATGGAGGAGGGGGGGCTTGGGGGCTTGGGATGGGGAGGAAAAGGAAAGGACGGGACGGAGGTCAATTGCCTTCGCTTCCCCCCCCCGAAGGCCCCGCTGCCAGCCTCGGCGCTGCAGCGGGCAGGGTGCACAGAGGACAACCTGCTGACGCGGACCGTGCGTGCGGGGTGGTGCGGTGGGCGTCACCGGCAGCTGAAGTCGGCATCCCGTGCAGGGTTTCGGTGGGCATCCCCAGACCTCCGACGTCTCGGGAAACTCGAGGCGGAGGTTTTCGGAAGTTTTTGGCCAGAACCGGTCCGGGTGACTTTTCTGGAATTTTCGGCCGGAACAGGGACCGCCGAAGAGGAATAAACAGCACAAGCACAAAGTTTCGGAGGTCCAGGTGGATGCCTCGGAAGATGTGTTGGGACCCCTCGGCGCCGCCCCTGGCGCGGTCCGCGCGCCAGGGAGGTGGGTCCAGCGCCGATTCAAGAAATCCGCGCGGAGCTCCAAAAGCCTATGGTAATGAAGTTGTTCGTTGTTGAATGAGGGATTTAGCGTGTTTCTGCACGTTTTCTTCTTCGCGCTCTTGTTGTTCGGCGTGGACCTGTTCCGAAAGTTTTTGTGTATGCCGCTTGTTCTGCCGGGTCCGCCGAGAGATTCGAAGAACACACAATAGCCGAAGTTCGGAGTCTCGTGTTGATCGTTTTCTTATTCATTGTTTTGCCGATCGGCGCGGGCCTTCGCACCCCCCCCTCCCACCCCTGGAGTAGATCTTGGCTGTTTTGGGCGCCTGTTTCACGCAGGTGGAGTCTCCCCGACGGGACGCACGGTTGCAAACAGTCGCATTGAGCAGAGGTCCGGAGCCAGGCCCCCCCTCCGCCCCCATTTCCGCCCAATGTCGAAACGCTGAATAAGACAACGTGTACGTGCGGAAGTTTTGGGTTTGGCGCCAGACCCCTCTCCCTTGGCGAGATGAGCGCGGCAGGGGGGGACTCGGCGTCACCCCAACATACTAGTACTATGCGTGCTTCGCCCCTCCCAGGGGCGACGCGCGCGCGCCGAGAAATTTTATAGTACATGCTCTGTGGCGGACGTTTCCTGGCCATACCTCCCGGGAGACGATCTACTGTGAGGTGGTTACACTCTGATGTCCAGGCCGACCGCACGCCTCCGAGGAGGACACGTGGTAACAGTGTGTCCTCGTGCGCCGCCCTCCTGATCTCCTCGTCCTCTTGCCCTCCTGCCCTCCCCTCATCCTCCTCCCTTCTTCCTGCCCTCCTGATCTCCTTCTCCTCCTCCCTCTCCTCCTCCTACTCCTCCTCCTCCTCCCGCCTCCTCTTCCTCTTCCCGCCTCCCCCTCTTCCCCCTCCTCCTCCTCCCGCCTCCTCTTCCTCCTCCTCTTCCTCCTCCCCCTCCTCCCCCTCCTCCCCCTCCTCCCACCTGCCTTGTTCGGGTTGTTCGAGCAGTTCATTTTCCAGTGAGCCGGGCTATCTTGGCGTCCTGCCCCCTCGCGGGGCCCTTTCTCTAGGACCTGTTTTTCTTCTTTCTACTCTCTCCTGCCTTCTAACTGCCTCATACATTCGGGGAACAAGCAATGACATAAGCGTACACTTTCGGAGATCTGCGCGAATTTCTCGGATCGGTGCTGGCCCTCCCCTTTCTGGCGCGCGGTGCGCGCCAGGGGCGGCGCCGGAGGCGCCGCCAGGGGGCCCCAGCGCCAGTCCGAGTAACCCGCGCGGACTTCCTAAACATTTGTATGTCATGGTTGGTTCCCTTATACACGGCCTCCTACCTCTCGCTTGTATCATGCCCACCGCTTGCGCAGCTGTGGCAACTCGTCGTGAGCCCCATGGGATGTCCAGCGGAGAGCGTGCACGCGCGGACTCAAACTCTTGCCCCTTGCCCTGTTATGCTGCCAGCTGCGCAGCTGTGGCCGCTCTCGTGAGGTCCTGGGCTTGAAGAAGGACAAATTGCATAGACATGAACTGTCGACGGTCCGCCCCCTGGCGGCGCCACTGGCGCCGCCCCTGGCGCGCTCCGCGCGCCGGGGAGGGGGGTCCAGCGCCGATCCAAGAAATCTGCGCGGACCGTCAAGAGATTACGTTTGTGCAGTTGTTCTGTCCCCTATGGGATGTCCAACGAAGTGCGGGCACACGCAGATTCAAATGACTACTTATTCCTCTGATGAGGAGTTGGTGAGTGGCAATCGCGGTGGCCAAGTTGCTGAGCGACTGAGGCTTGGCATTGCCTCCCGGTCGCCAGGCTTGGCCTTTCCTCCTCACCCTGGCTGCAGGTCTCGACGGTCTTCACGATTTGGATCGCCAACTATTTCGCAGCGTGATTAGAAGCCGGCAAGGAACGAGTGATTCAGAGTCTCGTGCATGTGGCCAAATAGTACCCCAGCCTCTGTGTCCTGACACCATCTCGGCTGCTCGTGTTCGGAATGGACATGTAACGAATGGCGTCTCGTGTTCTTGACTTGTTCGTCCACTTGTCAGCCCCCTCTCCCCCGACTGGTTTTCTCCCTGCGCTTGCTGGCTGATTATATAATCCAGCAGCTGCCGAGACTGCGAGTTTTCGGATTCATTGATGGTCAGTGCACGCAGCCTCGGCAGTCGCACCACGGATTGCCAGAAGAGCTCAAGCAACCTTGAAGAGCCTCGTGATCTTCCCTACCTCCTTACCCTCTACTCCGTCCCCCTTGAGGACCCTCCCCCTCTTCCGCTGCCTGGGGATCCTCGCCCCCCTGCTCCCCTCCAGCTCCCCCTGGGAGGATCCTCACCCGCGGCGCGTTCGTGAACTTCGGGCAGTTAGACGGGGGCAAGGTGCCTGGAGGACAGAAGGCGGCGCGGGGACAAGCTTTGGGCTCAGGGAAAGAAGATGGAGGATGGAGGGTATGGTGGCGAAGGAGGAGGAGGACAATGACGACGACGAGCGTTGCGCGATCTCTATGGCCGTGGGTGATTGGATCGCCGAAGGGGGCCAGGCAGTCACGCCCAGGCGTGGCGACAGCAAGCAGGCCTCGAAGCAGTCCAACAGTGCACTGGCCAGTCACTCAGCTGTCCTCGAGCAACAAAGAGCGGCATAAACTTCCAGAGCTCCGCGCGGAGCTCTGGCAGTTCATGTGTGTGCGTGTGTGTGTGTGTGTGTGTGTGTGTGTGTGTGTGTGTGTGTGTGTGCCGTTTTTTCTTCCTCTGTTTCCGTCCCCCCCCACCCCGCCCCATCGCCTCCCACGTTCCGATCCCATCTCAGTCGGGAGGCGGAGCAGCAGGCGGGAGGAAAGGCTGGAGGGTCTTCGGTGAGGATGAAGGAGAGGACCCGCCTCTGCCGTCGCTTTTTCCTGCCCATCCCTTCTCACGCTCCACCGACCACGCCCACCACGCCCGATCCCCCCTACCACGCCCTCCGTCTCCGCCTCGCCCCGTCCCCACCTGGAGTCCAGACTTCGACGGGGCAGCGATGGCTCGGGTAGGACCAGGCATGCGTTGATCCTCGAAGAAGAACGGAATAGATATAAATTGTCGGAGTTCCGCGCGTATTTCTTGGATCGGCGTTGGGTCCCGCTGGCGGCGCCTCCAGCGCTGCCCCTGACGCGCTCCGCGCGCCAGTGAAGGAGGGCCAGCGTGGATTCAAGAAATTCGCGCGGACCTCCAAAAGTGTATGCCTCCGCGTCGGCGTGGCGTTGGGTTCGGGCCGGCTCGGGGCCTTGCAAGAGCATGGCGGGCGCGCTGTTTTATTTTCTTCGGGACTTCGGCCCGCTTCTGTTTTCATTTCGCGCGGGCGCAGGCCGATGCCATTTTACCTAGTCTAACCTCTTTGTCGGTTATGATTCCAGCCTCTTGTGTTACCAGCCTCCTTGTACTTCCAGGCCATAAAGGACTGGTGCTTCCCACCCTCGCCTCTTGGGAGGGAGACGGAGAGGAGTGTGAGGATCGGATTGGTCGAGGACGTCTTTGATAGAAAAGGTTGCTGCTGCCACTCCCTCGCTGTTCACTTGTCTGGAACAGTCGTCTGAAAGCCGCTGGCTCGCACGAGCGACTCGCTGTCAACTTCCGCCCAGAGGGCGGTGCAGCTCGCGCGTGGGAGCAGGCTGTCAAAGGTTGGCCCGGATGCTGAAGGAATTCCGTGCCGGGGCCGCCTCCTCTCCTTCTTCTTCCTCCTCCTCTTCCTCCTCCTCCTTTTCATTTTCCTCCTCCTCCTGTTCTGAATAACTTTAGTGCGACCGCCGAGCCGCATTTTTCGGTCTCACCCCTGCTCACGCACCATCTGGTGCAAGGCTTATATATATATATATATATATATACATCCGTGTTCACCCGCGTTTCTCCTCACCCATCCTCCTCCTCTCCTTCGCCTTTCCACTTGCACTCGAGACACAAAGGAGCATGCAGTCGCACGCTCATGCAAAGAGCACGCGCGCGCAGCACACATACACGCAGCACACATACTGCACGCGTGGCACATCCACAGGGTGTGCGGAGGGGATGGGGGTGCTGTGCGTGCCAGGGTCGGAAAGCGCGGAAGGCGTGGCACTTTCTCGCCGCCACAGGGGGTGCGCATGGGGTCTCTGAGCGCGGTCGTTATGCGCGACTCTCGTCCAGGACATAGCAGGCGTGGCACTTTCTCGACACCATGGGAGGTGCGCAGGGGGTGGTCCCGCTGTGCGCGCCTTTCGTCCATGGCGCAGCAGGCGTGGCACTTTCTCGACACCATAGGAGGTGCGCAGGGAGGGGGTCCCGCTATGCGGGCTTCTCGTCTCAGGCAAAGCAGGCGTGGCAATTTCTCGACACCATAGGGGGCGCGCAGGGGGTGGTACCGCTGTGCGCGCCTCTCGTCCAGTAGTAGTAGTCGTCGTCGTCACCGTCGTCGTCGTCGTCGTCGTCGTAGTAGTAGTAGTAGTAGTAGCTCTTGTAGTAGTAGCGGTAGTCGTAGTAATAGTAGTAGTAGTAGTAGTAGTAGTAGTAGTAGTAGTAGTAGTAGTAGTAGTAGTAGTAGTAGTAGTAGTAGTAGTAGTAGTAGTGGTGGTAGTAGTAGTAGTAGTAGTAGTAGTAGTAGTAGCAGTACCAGTAGCAGTAGCAGTAGCAGTAGCGGTAGTAGTAGTAGTAGTAGTAGTAGTAGTAGTAGTAGTAGTACTAGTAGTAGTAGTAGTAGTAGTAGTAGTAGTAGTAGTAGTAGTAGCAGCAGCAGCAGTTGTAGTAGTAGTAGTAGTAGTAGTAGTAGTAGTAGTAGTAGTAGTAGTAGTAGTTGTAGTAGTAGTAATAGTGGTAGTACTAGTGGTAGTCGTGGTAGTAATAGTGGTAGTAATAGTAGTATCAATAGGGTCACACTTGATCTTCGTGTCTGACCACACGTCACCTGCGTGTGCCATAGAGTGTATAGCGACTGTACCGGATCCTTATTGGAGAATTAAGGAATACGTCAGTTTCACACGTCACCTTCGTGTCGCTTGCACCACACGTCACCTTCGTGTACTATTCAGCCGTAAGCAAGCATATTTGGGCCTAGTTCAGAAATACAGGAAAAGGAAGTTTCACGCGTCACATTCGTTTCGCAGCATTTAGGGCATCGTTCCAGTAGAAATGCCAAGGGTTCTTGGGGTCAAATTTCCCATTGTCCATAAAAACGGGCCAAGCTTTGGCCGACGCCCTTACGGCACCCCCAGGTTCCTTAGGAATTCAATAGGAAATGGCAAAGTCTCAGCCTCCAGCAGAATTCGTTCATAATGTATTTGTTGTTCAATGGGAAGTCAAGTGGAAATTGTCGAGTCCCAGCCTCCAGCATAATTGCTTAACCATTCTATTGGTTTTTTGAAGACGAATGCACAGAGAGCAGGGAAGGCCTGCTCCAAGTTGTATGAATTGTAAGAGCGTTGTCTGTTGTATGGTTGCGTTCGTGTTTCCAGTTGTTTGTGTTTCCTGTTGTATTGGTGGTTCCCTTATTTTTCCCAGTTGTCTGGCTTTTCTGTGTGGTTTTCGTATGGGTTCCTTCGCTGTCTTGTGTTGTATGGTTCGTCTCCAATTGTAAAGTTCTCTGATAGTTTCCTGGTGTGTGGACTCCACGTTGGTTCCTGTTGTACGGCTTCTCCTTATTGTTTCTTTGTGTGTTCCACACGTCACCTCCGTGTACTATTGTTTTGTTTTCCGTGTATACCGTGTATATTACGAAACCAAGCAGACATTGCAATTCCGCACGTCGTTTTCGTGCCTAAGTGCATTCTAAGTGTATTCCAATTGTATTCGAATTATATTCTAATTGCATTTATATTAAATTGCAATTTCAGTATAATTAAATTCTATTTGCATTCAGCTTAAATTCGAATTGTATCGTAATTGTCTTCTGAGTAAGTTCTTATTGTCTTCCAATTTGAAATTCCAAGTGTGTTCTACGTACAATTTCTACTGCTATTCTATGTGTATGTGAATGGTATACTAATTGTATCCGGATTACGATCTAATTGTATTCTAAGTGTGTCCTAAGTGTAATATACATGCATTCTAATGTTATTAGTGTTGTACTGTTATATCCGTAAGGGCTTCGCCCCCTGCCGCCGGTTCCCTCCCTCGGAGAATGGGCCATGGAAGAGCTAAGTCATGAGGTCTTGGCGCTGTCGTGAAGCAGTATCGAAACTTCATGCGAAGCCGATTCGCAATCAGCAAAACCAACTGATCACAAGAGGGGTTACCACACCTAGCGATTGGTAAGACGTGTATGGTTTACGGGCTTGGTTGCCACACCTTGCGATTAAAGGGCCGAGGGAGTTCTCGCAGTTTGGGTTACCACGCCTTGCGATGGATGTGCGTGAAGGGTGGCACCGAATTTCAGAAATGTGGCAAATCCCCTGTGTTTTTGGACCCTGACCCCGCGGATCTGCGTGAGGGGTGGCACCGAATTTCAGAAATGTGGCAAATCCCATGTGTTTTTGGACCCTGACCCCGCGGATCTGCGTGAGGGGTGGCACCGAATTTCAGAAATGTGGCAAATCCCATGTGTTTTTGGACCCTGACCCCGCGGATCTGCGTGAGGGGTGGCACCGAATTTCAGAAATGTGGCAAATCCCATGTGTTTTTGGACCCTGACCCCGCGGATCTGCGTGAGGGGTGGCACCGAATTTCAGAAATGTGGCAAATCCCCTGTGTTTTTGGACCCTGACCCCGCGGATCTGCGTGAGGGGTGGCACCGAATTTCAGAAATGTGGCAAATCCCTTGTGTTTTTGGACCCTGACCCCGCGGATCTGCGTGAGGGGTGGCACCGAATTTCAGAAATGTAGCAAATCCCTGGTGTTTTTGGACCCTGACCCCGCGGATCTGCGTGAGGGGTGGCACCGAATTTCAGAAATGTGGCAAATCCCTTATGTTTTTGGACCCTGACCCCGCGGATCTGCGTGAGGGGTGGTACCGAATTTTAGAAATGTGGCAAATCCTTTATGTTTTTGGACCCTGACTCCGCAGATCTGCGTGAGGGGTGTTGATTTCGAGCCCCCCCAGCAATTCAGACAACGCGCCCAGGGGGGGCTAAAAATCCTGTTTGGGCCTCCCCCCCCCTCGCGCGGTCAATCAACTAGTTACAGTAACCAGCAATAAGTCAACTGGTTACAGTAACCAGCAAGAAGCAGAACTGTAACACTGGAAATTGCAAGCTACAACTGGCACAGGAAACTGCGAACCTCGCGCCTACAGCCTGGTGGCCCCACAAGGGGGCCGGCGGATTGTTTTCTAATTGCATCCTGATGAAATGTTAGTTAAATTCCAATAACTTCTAGCTAAATTCAGATCCGACTCCGAACCCGAAAACGAACCCGAACCTTTTTACCCTTACCCATTCATCCCCAGCAGACACGAAGGT